TGTGACGCCGAAGACTCGGGTTCGATTCCCGACGTGGGTACATTGTGTGAAGCCCATTTCTGGTGTCCCCCGCCGTGATATTGCTGGAATATTGCTAAAAGCGGCGTAAAACCATACTCACTCACTTATTCATGTTAATGATGCATTGTTTATCAAATAATTGTAATAGCTATTATAATCACAAAGACAAAGAAACATATTTATGACCAAATGAGTCAACTGGAGCTCTGCTGATGATGAGTGGAAAAATCTGGACTGAACTTAAACATCTGGATTGACCTTGATCATCAGGACTGACCTGGATCTTCTGTACTGACCTTGATCTTCTGGACTGACCTTGATCTTCTGTACTGACCTTGATCTTCTGTACTGACCTTGATCTTCTGGACTGACCTTGATCTTCTGTACTGACCTTGATCTTCTGGACTGCCCTTGATCTTCTGTACTGACCTTGATCTTCTGGACTGACCTTGATCTTCTGTACTGACCTTGATCTTCTGTACTGACCTTGATCATCTGGACTGACCTTGATCTTCTGGACTGACGTTCACCACCCAGACTGCCATTGATCATATCCGGACTGACCTGGATCTTCTCTACTGATCTGGATCTTCTGTACTGACCTTGACCACCCAGGCCACCATTGATCATATCTGGACTGACCTGTATCATCTGGACTGACCTGCATTTTCTCTACTGACCTGGATCTTCTGGACTGACCTGGATCTTCTGGACTGATCTGGATCTTCTGTACTGACCTTGACCACCCAGGCCACCATTGATCATATCTGGACTGACCTGCATTTTCTCTACTGACCTGGATCTTCTGGACTGACCTGTATCATCTGCACTGACCTGCATTTTCTCTACTGACCTGGATCTTCTGGACTGACCTGGATCTTCTGGACTGATCTGGATCTTCTGTACTGACCTTGACCACCCAGGCCACCATTGATCATATCTGGACTGACCTGGATCTTCTGGACTGACCTGGGTTTTCTCTACTGACCTGGATCTTCTGGACTGAACTGGATCTTCTGGACTGACCTGGATCTTCTGGACTGACTTGAATCTTCTGTGCTGACCCGTATCATCTGGACTGACCTGGATGTTCTGGACTGACCTGGATCTTCTGGACTGACCTGGATCTTCTCGACTAATCTTGATCTTCTGTACTGACCTTGACCACCTAGGCCACCATTGATCATATCCGGACTGACCTGTATCATCTGGACTGACCTGGGTTTTCTCTACTGACCTGGATCTTCTGGACTGAACTGGATCTTCTGTACTGACCTGTATCATCTGGACTGACCTGGATCATCTGGACTGACCTGTATCATCTGGACTGACCTGGATCTTCTGGACTGACCCGTATCATCTGGACTGACCTGTATCATCTGGACTAACCTGGATCATCTGGACTGACCTGTATCATCTGGACTGACCTGGATGTTCTGGACTGACCTGGATCTTCTGGACTGACCTGGATCTTCTGGACTGACCTGGATCTTCTGTACTGACCTGTATCATCTGGACTAACCTGGATCATCTGGACTGACCTGTATCATCTGGACTGACCTGGAACATCTGGACTGACCCGTATCATCTGGACTGACCTGGATCTTCTGGACTGACCTTGATCTTCTGGACTAACCTTGATCATCTGTGCTGACCTTGACCACCCAGGCCACCATTGATCATATCAGGACTGACCTGTATCATCTGGACTGACCTGGATCTTCTGGACTGACCTGGATCTTCTGTACTGACCTGTATCATCTGTACTGACCTGTATCATCTGGACTGACCTGTATCATCTGGACTGACCTGGATCTTCTGTACTAACCTTGATCATCTGTTCTGACCTTGACCATCTGGAGTGACTTTGAGTATCTGGACATCATCTTTTTCCCAGGGATATTGTCCAGATTCACATATATATAGCCCAGATTTATTAAGAATTTACTTAAATATTTTTGTGTTAATGAAGGAATAAATGACAAACCTTGCATGTGCACACTGTGTATATAGGCATTCACATAAGTTTTTACGTTTATAACTCTAAACATATTGAAGTCCATTCCAAGAAATATACATGCCAACAACAATGACTTCACGAACTGCTTATTTTATCATTAAAACACAAAACGAAATTAGCGCATCGTCCAGTTGTATACAACACTAACCCCACCCGTTCAATTATCACCCGTTGAGGAAAAAGTGGTATGTTTTGGGAGTAACATTTTCTCAGTTAGCCAACCAAATGCCACGGAATCACTTGCACGAATGTCCCATGGATTCTATATGGAGGTTCTCGGCAGTGACTGTTACTTGTTTATTCCCAAGTTGAAACACGAAGGTTAACCTAGAAACTGGTATGTACAGAACTAAATTATAAAATCAGCAAAAAAACACCACAAAATCAATGAACAGTCAACAAATTATATTGAAACAAGTGGGATTAGGTTTACAATCATAAAGGGCAAAACAATGGGTCAAATATGCGGCAGCAACAATAAATAAGAGGCCCTATTACAAAAGTCGGCGACCCGTGAAGATCCGGGCCAGAATAGGTTTTCAGCAACCCATGCTTGCCGTAAAAGGCGGCTATGCTTGTCGTTAGAGGCGACTAACGGGATCGGGTGGTCAGGTTCGCTGACTTGGTTGATGCATGTCAATTGCATGGAATATTGCTGAGTGCGGCGTTAAACAACAAACCAACCAACTACAAGAGTCAGGGCACTCACGAATGTCCCGATATTGTCACAACCGTAGAATGTCTTGAGTGAGGCAAAAGCTCCTATCTTGAATCTGAAATAATGTTGGAAGCTGGCAGAAAAGTCGGTCTTTTCAGACCGGTCTGTACTGGGCAAGTAGGCATGCAACAAGTCATGTAGTAAAATGCCGGGAATTGCCCTCAACTCCCTCTTATATAGGCACAACCAGCCTTCTGGAATCAGTAACATCGGGAAACTTCTTGAACAATGGAGTCCCAGAGTCAATACACAAAGGAGGAGAGTTCTGATGTACTCTGGTCACTGGTGGTCTCATACCGTCCATAAACAAAATCTAGAAACAATGACACTTGACATTTTATGAGCGCTTCAATTAGGTGCCACTAACAATTATCTGAAATAACCAATGATATATTGCAGCATAAGACAGTCTACAGATAGGGTTTCCATTTTAACAAGGTTTAACTGTTTCCAACCTGTGTCACTGTGAGATTTCCTCCCATACCCATTTCGGGATGTCACTAGAGTTGGGTTGAGTTCGGTTTGGTTTGACGCCGCTTTTAACAGTATTCCAGTTATATCGCGGCGTGTCAGCTTAATGTGGGAGGAAAGCCTGAAGTGATGCAGGTCTCAGACGTTTACCACTTCGGTGAAACCCACGAGCACGGGTATGGTGCTGACAAACCTAGAAACATAATCGGGGCGAACCGGGATTCGAACCCACAATCACAGGTTTCTGGCGTGCCCAAGGGACGCCGTGCCCGTGCCCCCTGTCACTAAAGTACTGTAAAAAGAGTGCATATACCAAAACCAGAAGAATTTTGGATTTGAAATGAATTTCAAGATTTTTGGAGATCAAGTTTACCTAATACAAACATGGGACCTTTATAGTTGTCAATGATTATAACACTCTTAGGGTCTTCTCTTATTTGTAATATATAATACAACCCCTGCAGCGTTTAGCCAAATAAGGGGGCAGTGGGTTAGCCACGTGGTTAAAGCATTCGCTCGTCATGCCAGAGACCCAAGTTCGATTCCCCACATGGGTATGATGTGTGGAGCGAATTTCTGGTGTACCCCGCCATGATATTGCTGGAACATTGCTAAAAGCAGCATAAAACCATACTCACTCATTTATTCATATAAGGGGTGGTGGGGTAGCCTAGTAGTTAAAGCATTCGTTCGTCATGCCAAGGACCCGAGTTCGATTCGCAATGTGTGAACGCATTTTTGGCTTCCTCAACATGATATAAATAGAATATTGCTATAAACGGTGTAAAACAATACTCATGCTAATCAAACAACCCAAAGAGATTCGGGGTAGAAGAAATGCCTGGTACAGTAAACTACGGTTGTAACGAACTCAAAGGGACTACTAATTTTAGTTCGTTATAACCGTAGTTCGTTATAAGCATATATACAGCATAGCTACAGCATATAGTCGGGACTAAAAAGTTAGTTCGTTATATCCGTTAGTTCGTTATAAGCGTGTTCGTTATTATCGTAGTTTACTGTATTTCCTGCTGGACATAAGAGCAAACTTATTGTTGTTTCATCCATTGTGGCCATTGCTGTCATACAGTCAAACACTGGATTGCCATGATTATTTAAAGGTGTTGTGAAAAGGTTATGGAGAAAATGGTCCCTTGCAAAAACGTCCCCAGCCAATTTGGAGGAAATGCCCCCAAATTTGAGTGAAATCAAATGAGTTGGTCCCATATCGAAGGAAATGGTTCATTTATTAACTGACCCAAAGACGTGAAAAAGTGAAGAGCAGCTTCTTAACAATAATTGAACTAAACATCTTAACAATAAATAGGCTAAATCACTAACAATTGTGTTCTTTATGTCAAAGACGTATAGATCTAAATACGTCTTTGTTTATGTATTTCTAAAATTTTGGTCCTTTTTCTCCAAACTTTTAGTTCATTTTAACTAAAAGTTTGGTCCATTTTTGAAGGGCTATTTTCTCCTGAACCCCTGTGAAATGGCTGTAATATTACTCACTGCTGTGTAAAAACTATTCACTCTCTCTTATCAAACAAAAATAATACTACCGTAATCAAATATGATGATATCCAAGACTTTTAGTTCAGGAGCAAAACTAATTTTGGGATTTTAATTCTTGATTTTGTCTTTATTATAGAAAACTTTGTTTCGATCAATGGGGTTCGAACCACTCTTTCTGCATTTTCTGAAAACGTGTCTCCGTTGAAGCTAATGTCACTTTTGTCAGATTTGTGGTTGCAGGAGTTGCTTCCCCTGCTATCTGTGCCGACTGATAGTTTATAAAAGAATCTATCGGTCGGGATGAACTGCGAGGTGTAGCATTGTATTTCCTAGTCGGTGTTGTCAGTTCCGAAGTAAGTTACAGGCCACACATACACATGAAATATTGGTCAAAACAGTGCATAGAACATAACAAAACGTGGACATTCACGGAAAGAAACGGGAACTTGGATTTTAGGAACACCGAACAGGTGTCCGGGCGAGCTCTTTATTCTGGAAGTTTGAGTGTTAACAACAGTGCTTGTTAGTGAATACTCTCAGCTTGGCGGGATCAGTACAGGCAGGTCCACTAGCGGAATGGCTGACCACAGTCAGGTGACAGCGGGACATCACCAGACAGGTAAGATACTGCTACTGTATGTAGTCTTGTACAATTGAAACCCTATTTGCCCCACGTCCTAAATCTAGGCATACTCGAACCTACAAGTTGATCAGAATAATGTATGGAAGGTGTGTTGCTAGCAGGTCTGTATGGAAGCCCATAGCTGCAATATAGATCTACTTTGTTTTTCTTTCTTGAATGCTCAAGACACTTTGTTGAAATTTCAAGATACTAATTTGAAATTTAAATTAACTGTTTTGAAAATTCATGATACCATTTTAAAAATTCATGATAGAGTGTTGAAAATTGTGTTGAAAATTCATGATACTGCGATGAAATTTTAAGATAATACATCATGCTTTATTGAATTTAAAATTTAAAATTATTATCTTGAATTTTCAACACAGTATGCAGTAATATTTGTTCCCCACTCAGTGGATCCGTTGGCATTCCAGTTATCTTTCTCAACTCCCTGGGGAGTATGCAACCCATCCTGGTGCTAGGTCTTTACATCCACCCCACAAATCTGGTACCCCATTCCCTGCTAGGTGAACAGAGGCACATGTGAACTAATTTCAGTCACATGCCCAGGGTGACACCACACGTTTTGACACTTGTGTTTTTTGGTGTATGTACGTATTCGTGTTTCCACCATTTGGTCATCCTCCATCTGACGAGTGGGTTGTTTTGAGTGGACAGGGTGTTTGTACTGTACACTAGGGATGATGACAACACTGTGAATACCTGTAAACATTGTTTACAATCTCAGCACCTGGCGTTTTTGACTTTTTGCCACTCCGCCTCTTAATCAGTATGGAGGCTACAAGTAAGTGAAGCATCTGACATCTTAAAAATGAAAGTTAACGGGCAGTTCTGAGTGGAAAATGTAAGTTTACTAATAAAACCCTGTCATTTTTATGGGCGTCATTCCATCTACATTGATCTACGACCCATGAAGATCCATGTTAGAATAGTCTTCAGCAACCCATGCTTGCCTTAATAGGCGAGTTTATGTGATTTACCCTATTCGACGTAATAAGCACCCACGGCGATATTTATTAATATATTGGCTTGTGAACAATCCCAATTAGCACCCCTTCCGATTGATCAATGTACACAAGACTTATTTATTTGTGTATAGTATGCACTCGTGTGTTATATGCACCCTTAATTATAGGCAATTAAATTCTGGAAAAATATATCTGTCGTATATAAACATTTCAGGCTGTCAGCACAAACCACAGACTTTATCTTTCAACTCTGTTTTTTTTCACCAAAATACCATTCTGATAAGAGCCCCTATTTCTAATTTTGAGAGCGCCCTGGGCGCTTATTACGTCGAATACGGTAAGCAGAATGCTCATAGAGAGCACTTGCTAACATCCCTCTTGCTGAAGGCAGACCAAGGGCTGATTGGTTATGTTAAGAATACTACTATACTGCATGACAGACCCGTGTAATCATGTTATCGGCATGAGTGATGGATGAACAGTGTACACAAGTTCGTGAAGAGTTGATGGTGATGGATAATCTTCTGGACTGATCAACTTCATTAGGTTTTTAGACAGGTGATCCAGTTGACAATATCAAAGAGATCTGTTTCAAGATCGCCGGATTATTTTGCTCAAGAAAAAAATCGTTTTTTGAACATGTTGATGTTTCTTTGTTGTTTAATGCCAGACTCAGCAATATGGCGGCGGTCTGTAAATAATCAAGTCTGGTCCGGACAATCTTGAACATTTCGAACAAATGTATTTGAAATGATTTGTGAAAACATACAGGAAAATTTTTGACTGTGAGTCATTGGTAGCTGAATTAAATGTTTATTTTGTTGAAACATGGTGTACCGCATTGTAATTTTACTTCTCTGGTTCAACATTTTGAATTTCTTTCGAATAATAAATCCATAGAAAGTGATCTGTCTTGTTCTGGGTGGAGTGTAGTGGTACTGTCCAAATGTTAGCCTGCTGCATGTGATACTGACATTAAAACGTCCTCAACCATGGCAATCTTCAAGTCACTGTCAAGTAAAGCAATACTGTTTCCATGGCAACCAGGGAATCATTAAGCTGAGAGGAAATACTAGAGATTTAGAATAATGGGACACTAGTTATCAATTTCTGTAAGAGATATAATGATGGTAGAGGCTTTTCTTGCTTGTTGTCATGGTAATGGTTTTAGTAATATTATGGGGTAATATTATGTTCATCATGTCTATGCTTAATATATTAACTGGGGCGGTGGGGTAGCCTGGTGGTTGAAGCGTTGGCTCGTCACGCCGAAGACCCGGTTCGATTCCCCACATGGGTACAATGTGTGAAGCCCATTTTCCGGTGTCCCCCGCCGTGATATTGCTGGAATACTGCTAAAAGTGGCGTAAAACCATACTCTCTCGCTCACTCACTAATATATTAATTGAAACCAATTTTCCGTTTAATTTGAGTTAAGATAAAAGAAGTAATGCAACCACACTTTCAGGGACATGATACATGATATATAGTACTAAATAGGTGCTTGTCCAAGTGATCTTCCCAATCTTAAAGGCAGGGTAACAGACAAGCCCTCTAGCTCGGGTCTGTCTGGTGTTAAAGGTATCCCAACGGCTTATGGAAATTTGTGTGTGTGTTTGTTGTGTAACGCCACACTTGGCAATCATCCAGTTGTATAATGTCGGCGTGTACATAATGGCATCTGGACCAGACTGTCCAGTGATTGATATTATGAGCGACAAGCCAGGTACAGTGACATGCAATCATCAAAGTCTGATCATCCAATCCAATTAGATACCTCTTGTTGTGTGGGTTGCTAGAGCAACCATTTCTGACCCAGCATTGATCAGTGAGTGGAAATTAGGGCTTTGACGGGTAACTCAGGTATTTCGGTCAGGTTGGTTCTGAGTAGGATCCTGGTACCCTCAGGACTACCCAAATCCTTGATTATTCACGACAGTAAGAGTAAAACTTCATGGTTACACTACAAGTCGCTAATGTTTGTATTTCTTTTAGGGCTGAGACGAGTCCAAACTTACTACCCGGGTACCCACCCCCTATTACCCGACCCTACACAGGTACCTGCTGTAGGTCTCAAGAGTTGGGTACAAAATGTCCGATTGGGAATTATTTTACTGCAGCCCTGGCAAAATGTATCTAGATACATGTATTAAACAATCTGGTCATGCATACACTGAAGTTGACTGATGTTTTATCTTTATTCAAACCTATAAAGGTCAGAAGGAATGGGTGCAATGTCAGAAAGAAATGTGAACATAAGTGACTTGTCATGTAACCGTGGAATTCAAAATAAGTTTTGTCATTAAACAATATATCACGTGACTAAACCACAGGTCCGGGTAGTCCTGTGGGTGCCCGGGTCCTACTCATTACCCACCCGACCCAAGTACCCGAGTTACCCATCCCAGCCCTAATTTCTTTTAACTTATTTGCTTGAGTGAAGGTAATGTTTCTGGTGTTGTTTTTTTGTACAGTGTATGTACAACTGTAAATTGATCTCTGTATGTGTTAATATACAATGCATTTTACTTAAAACTGAACAAATATATGTCATAGATTAGCAAAGACTTGTATCCAATGATATACTACACAGTTAGAATGTCTGAGAGCAGAACAGAATGACGTTAAGGATTTCATCGCCAAAGGAAAATAAAGTCAAGTTGCTATGGTTACAGTGCCTTTCAAATAAACGACTTCCGTATTTGACGTAATAAGCACCCATGGCGCTCTTAAAAACAGGAATAGGGGGCTCTTATTAGAATATAATTTTGTTGAAAAAAAGTTGAAAGATCGTAAATTTCGTTGTTTATGCTGACAGCCTGAATAATATATAAGAAAAGTCTGTGCGTTTTATACACCACAAACATATTTTTCCAGAATTTAATTGCCCGAAATTAAGGGTGCATATAACACACGAGTGTGTATTATGCACGAATAAATAAGTCTTGTGCACATTGATCAATCGGAAGGGGTGCAAATTGGGATTGTCCACCAGCCAATATATCAGCAAATATCGCCGTGGGCGCTTATTAGAACCGGGCGCTTATTACGTCGAATACGGTATATATGTTGAACAGTTCGTGAAAGGAGACAGCTTGAACATAAATATTGTGGACTGGAAAAACCAGTTTGGAGGAACACATTCTGTAGGCTGGGAATATGTCACAGTTGAACAATGAACATATCACATGGCTGGATGTTAAATGTCAACTCAACCATGGCAGCAAAATGTCCTAGATCAACATGCTTAAGATAATTTTAGGATTTGAGTAACTAAACAGCATTTTGTGTGAATATTTTTGAACTTAGGGACATTCTTTCATGAGTTTTTTATTTATTTCATCAAGTGTGGATGTTGGTAGATATGGTGATGTCTTGGTATAATGGAGTTATTGCTGATTCCATGAAACCATGGAACCATGAAACTAATCACCATGTAACCATGGTAACCACACACATTTGACTGATACCAAGACCAACAAAGATGAGGCTTTTCTGCATCATTTTACATTATTTCATTGTTAAACACAATGTTATCATACTTTTTATAATTTATAAAAATACCCATATTGAAAAAAAATACTTAGTTTGGAATTCTAGATAAATTTATGAAATACCGGTATATGCCCTGTGTGTGTATATATGATGAAGTTATACCGTAGCAGAGCGATGCATCTAGGACATAAGTGTGATCCTATTATAGGTAAAGCTCTGCTTATCTCCAGGCTTACAGCGACACATCAGGATGGGTATGGAGACTATCAGAGCTGACCCAACCTGTCCACTGTAGATGTTGTCCATTAACTAGGCTTGTCTTCTGCATGAGATGAAGACCTACATATTCATTATCAATATTGGGAAGTGTAATGCCAGGATAAAACAGGTTGTAATTAATTGGTTGTTGATTGGTTTATTGTTTAACGTCGCACACAGCAATATTCCAGCTATATGACGGCGGTCTGTAAATAATCGAGTCTGGACCAGACAATCCAGTGATTAATATCATGA